TGTGTGTGTGTGTGTGTGTGTATGCGTGCGTGCGTGCGTGCGTGCGTGCGTGCGTGCGTGTGTGTGTGTGTGTGTGTGTGTGTGTGTGTGTTTAAAGGACATGAAAGTAAGAGGAGGAAGCATTGGGGTGGGGTCAGGGGGAATGGAAAAGGGAGTTTCTCTTTGGGTAGGATATCATATGATCAAGATACATTGTATACATGTATGAATAATCTAGGGATACATTTTTAAAATGATTTAAAAAAAACTCCTGTCTCCCTGTCATGATTTCCTTCCATGTTTGTGCTTTGCTTATTAAAAGTTAGCTTGCAAACCTGGTCTGTTCCAGCTTCCTACGTGTATCCTTGTTTCTAATTAAAACAGTTCATTGCACCTCATGTGGGAGCTGGGATCCACCTGTCCTGAGATCCTGACCATCTCATGGTCTCCTTGGGGATGACCTAAAGCAGTGCTCCTCAAACTTGAGTGTGTGCAGAAGTCTTGCTAAAACCAACTGCTGGGCCCCACTCCCAAAGCCTCTGATATAGTAGGTGCTGGATTGAGTAAACATTTGCATTTGTAACAGGACCTGGGTAATGTTGGTGTTGCGCAAACACTGAGTATTACTGAGCTGAAGAAAAACAGATTTAGTAGCCAAATGGGTTCACAACAGACCCAAAGTCAAACTGAGAATGTGTGTGAGTAGCAGGCTGAAGGAGGACAGGGAATTTAGACCTGAGTAAACAATGCTGTGGGCCTCTCTGTTGGACACTCAGCTGAAATGACAAGTACGGGTGCTGGGGGGAGGTCAGTGTTTGTGGGGCGCCGAAGCACAGGTGGACTCCCTTCTCTCTTCCTCGACATCTTCCGCCTTGTGCCAGACTCTGGACTAAGTGTTGACCCTCAGAGCAACTCTTCAGGTCAGGATCTGTGACCTCCTTTTACAGTTTAAAAACATCCACAAGGTTGTTTAAGGTCATCTAACAAGGAAGTGACAGCCGTTGTCTGACCCCTGACCTCTGTTCCATCAGAAAGTGAGAGGACAGATGGCGAGTGGAAGGCCAGACTGAGGATGCACTTGACTTGGTGAATGACAAATGTCTTCCCAAGGAAGTGGACCATCTCAGTGACACCCACACACATCTCCAAAGACCTTGTTTTTAGCATCAGAAATAAAGCTAATTACAAAACAGACTTTCTTAGGAAGCCTTTTAGGTCAAGTTCGAGTCATTCCCATGATCCACCAACATGAATGTGTCATAACCCCTTACCCTTGTTGTGATGAGATGCCCCTGCTGTGGAGGCATCTCGAGGTTGGCTGTGAGTGGTCTTGCTCTTAGGAGTTTCCTGTTCACTACTTGCTTCAGCCTGTATCTTAGCATCAAGTTGTTTGTCTATTGGTTAAAGGAGCTTAGAGAACGTTGACTCATTTGAGTGAATTTTCTCTTTACTTTCTAGGTAGATTATGATAATCACACACTTTACAAACATGGAAAGACAGGTCGCAAACAATCTCCTGTGAGGATTTTCACCAACATTCCCCCCAACAAAATCATCCTCCCTACAGAAGAAGGGTACAGGTGAGACCCCTCTGAGCTTCACGGGCCATCTGAAAATGCAGTTATGTGTACCGGACAGTAAAATGCTTTCAGTATTGAATCAGGTGGTTCTTGTATTGCTCTTAGATTTGGTTCATAATTTCACATTGAATTGAATTCTGATTACCTCCAATTTTTGAAGCAAGTACCTTGTTTGCTTTTGTCTGTTCTGTGAATCTCAAATGAATACATGCAACTCATTTCTCTGTTTCTGTCTCTAGATTTTGCTCCCTCTGTCAGAGATATGTTTCTCTTGAGAATCAGCACTGTATGCATTGTAATTCTTGCACATCCAAGGTATGGTCCTCTTATGTAATACATTTTTATTTAAATGTTGGTTATGTTAGTTGATAGTTTTATTTCTCTTAAAATGTTTTGTTGCCTGGCAGTGGTAGCACATGCCTTTGATCCCAGCACTTGGGAAGCAGAGGCAGGTGGATCTCTGTGAGTTCAAGGCCAGCCTGGTATACAGAGTGAGTTCCAGGATAGCAAAGTTGTTATACAGAGAAACCCTGTCTGAAAAAACAAAAACAAAACAAAAAAATAGGTTTTGTTAATGCTTGAATTTATATGTATTATCACCTTCTAAATCTTAATATAGTAGTACCTTATTTCTGATTATAAATTTAATAAGCTTAAAAAAATCTCGAGTGTGGAAGGTGCATATGTGTAGGCACATGTGTGCACAGCATTCATGTGGAGGTCAGAGGACTACTTCCAGGATGTGGGTCTCTCCTTCTACCAGGTGAGTCCTGTGAATCAAATTCAGGGCTTGGTGATTAATGTCTTTGCTACTGAGCCATCTCTCCAACCCGAAAACAGGCTTTTAAAAGTACTTAATTTCTTTCATCATTGTAAATAGCTATTTCAATCATTTTCATATGGTACTTACCAAGAGTGTTTCAAATAAGGCACTAAGTGCTGAATTTATATGTCTGTTAAGGGTAAAATTATGATGTTTCAAATCAGGCATTGGACCATTAGATACCATTGCTGTTCTGATGAAGTAATGATTAGTAACATGTACTGTGCACTTTTTATGTGCTAGGCTTGTTGGTAAGAGCTTTGCATGGGTTCACACATTTAGTCCTCTAAGTAGCCCCCGAGAGATAGGGGTGGTCACTCTCTGCTCTTTTACAGCTGCTGCAGAACAAGAGACGACCCATCTCCTGTTTGTGGGTCTCCTGTTTGTGGGTTTAGCTCCTGTGTTGTTCTCAAGAGCCTTTGCTTTTGAAAGCGTTTTAGATTTGCTGCACATGAAGCAGAAGGTGCTGAGATTCGTGTATACTTCCTACCCCCGTTCCCGTACACAGCCTTCTTTCATCAGGATCTGGGCTGGAGTGTACCCTGGGAACAGTTGATGAACTCACTTACTCTTAACCCCCAAGTCCACGTTTTCCTGTGAGGTTCACTTTGGGTGCTGTGTGTTCCTTGACTGGGATGACTGGGATGACCTGCTTCTGCCACCGTAGGGTCAAACAGAGTGGCCTCACTGTGTCCCCTGAACATCTCCGCACTGCTTGCTCACGGATCTCACTGTCTCTATAGTGCTACCTTTTCCGGAAGGTCATTGTATTGGAGTCACACAGCATGTGTAACTGCTTTTCAGACTGGCTTCTCACTTGAAGTGGCCATTTAAAGCTCCTGTCTGTCTTTCCATGGCAAAAGGTTCGTTCTTGTTAATGACTTCCCGTTGTCTGGGAGTATCACAGTTTGTAACCATTCACCTAGTGGAGGACATCTTGCTTGCCTCCAACTTTGAACAATAATGAAGATTTTTTTAGGGAGGTAGGATGACCTTTCAGCTACTTGTTCATTTTTACTAAGTCTAGTCAGAAAGAACCTTTGGAGTTTAGCGTTCCTAAAAAGCACAAATGATTTTCCAAAGAAAAGTTTAGGTTCATATAACTATTTTCAACTAGTTTAGAAGTGGTCTGTCTTATGGTCAGGTTGTATAAAGTTTAAAATCGAGGGGGAAAACATATTTAGAAATATGCACATGGGTGGTAAAAATGAACAAGAATAGGGAAATGATGCTCACAAAAATCAGGACAGGTACTACCCGGTGGGAAGGAGGCGTGCTGTGGTGAGAGGCCCGGCCGGGTTTCTAGGGCCTCAAGAGGCCCCAATCCTTCACACAGTTGCTTTAACACTAGTAAAGTGCATGTCTATGTTGAATGTACTTGTCTAGGTATGTTTTACTTCACATTTAAAAAAGTTACTCAAGTAGTAACCTGTAATCTATCTCTCTAAATTACATGAAGCTCTCAAATATGAATTTCATTAGGGGCTATGTAGTAGAGAGAACATAAAATTATGGAATCATTAATTCTCTTGAAATTTTCATTTGCGTCCTTCTTTGTGAAGATTGGATGGCTTGAAGCAGAGTGGATTTTCAAGATCATTTGGATAAATCTGGTTTCATAGTTAAGGAAATTGAGGCCCATCAAGGAGGCATTTGAGTTAAGTGGAGAAATGCATAAATTAAAATCAAAGTATTTAATTGTGAAGCCCAGGAAAGGGAGAAATAAGGAATGAATAATTTACACATATTTTAATAAGACATTTTAATTTTTAATTGTGGAACTTGGCTTTTATAACAAATTGAACATTTTAAAATTTGTTTTTGTAGGATGGGAGGAAATGGAGCCATTGCTTTCTCTGCAAAAAGTGTGTGAAGCCTTGTAAGTGTTTGAGATCCTGGGAAAACAGTTTCCAGTTCTGTTCACGTGAATAAGATTTTTATTATATTCATAAAAGGAAAATAATGTAGAGACCGATATTGACTTTTTTTTTTTTT